TCTCTCTCTCTCTCTCTCTCTCTCTCTCTCTCTCTCTCTCTCTCTCTCTCTCTCTCTCTCTCTCTCTCTCTCTCTCTCTCTACTTCGTTTAATTTCTTATGGTTTTATGAATTTTTTTTATTTTTTTGGTCCAGTGTTCAAGGTATTACCTGTCGTTGGATGCTAGGTACCCTGCCCGACGTGGCACGTTAACGACCACATCGGAAGAAAAAAAAATTGGGCAAGGTACTGGTGGTTTTATTTTGTTTTTTGTTTTATTTTTTGTCTCGAATAAACGGATGTGAAAAAGAGAAATAAGAAGTCTCCTTTTGATTGGCAGAATTCGAACACAAAAAGAAAATCAAGTACTCAACGACGTTGGTATTGACTGTGGTTTGTTTTCTGGCAAATAGCAAGCCCTTAGAGTACTTAATTTTTTACCTTAGTAACATAGTCTGCTCGTTTGAGAATCAAACCGTTAGTAACGTAGTCTTGTTTGTTATACTAATAAAAATGAAGCTCTCACAATAATTTTGGTGTACAACTTCTCCCCCAGTTGGCCCCAGTTGGGGCAGTCAAGCCGTGAATCATCTCTGTTATCTCTTGCTGCACTTGAAACGCCAACCTCATTCTCATCTTTGAAACTTTAGTGTCTTTTTTTTTTCAATATCTTCAAATTATTTTTCTTCTTTTTTTCCAGGTGCCGCACAAGTCGTAATAAGCCCATGATTCGTTTGTTATCGTGCAGTCGGTACATTGCGCATGTTTACTTCAGACTTCAATCCGTAGTCGAATTCCTTTCAAGCAGGTCAGTACAATTTTATTTTATTTTTCCCTCCTAATCGAAGGACAAGTATGTATTGTACTTTTTTTTTTTTTTTTTGCCACAAAAATTCATTTTTTTTTAAGCGGAGTCAAATACCCAGAAAATACATCCAATAACTCTCAGGGGCAGACAAGTTGTCTTTCTCCACCAGAAGCTTGAAGCCCCTCCCCTCATATCTACATACCTAGGACCTATCCCCCTAGCCACACGAGACCCACTCAAATCCATAGAGAATGCACCCAAACTGCAAACTTTCATACAACAAGAAAACAAACCACACACTCTACCTAAGTTGCAAAAAATCTTCAAACACGAAAGAAAAAAACACTCTATCTACTATGGTTTTTTTTTTTTTTTTTTTTTTTTTTTTTYTCTTTCTCTCTCCCTCTCTCTCAAGACGTATTGTCAAAAATGTGGTTACGCTGCTCTCCTCGATACAAGGTGAAAACAACGTAAAGCATAACCACCTTTTCAACATTTATGTGAACGTTGTTGCTCAACTTTAACATTGGTTTGACCCGAAAATCAACATATTTTTTTTTCTTGTTATTGCAATACGATATGAACAAAAAAGACACACAATAAAACCTCACATTCTACATGGTTGGGAACTGGGTGCCACTTACGGCGGAATATACCAACAACGTCTTAATACACGGCTCCTACTTCTTAACCACATTGTCACAAGTGTAACTTTAAGGGAGATAGATGAAAAAATAGATTGATAGATAGATGAGTAAATGATGTCACCAGTTTTTCATATGCATGAACTCCCCGTTGAAAACATTGATGTGCAAGTTCTGCTACCCACACGATGTTGAATACGACCGGTTACTGATATGAACCCTTGTACATGCATGAAAGGACGACAAAACACAGTGTGGATATGCGATACAACCCATCATGCATCTTAAGCGACAAGTGAAAGGTTGACACAACAGTTAGTGGGGATGAAATAACACCACAAAACCACACTCGTGTGCGAGATTCACCTGCAGTATTGAACATAAACGCACACACACGACCACTTACTCCTTGCAATGTACATACATACAGACAATGAAACTGCGCATACATTGTGGATATGCGCCACAAAAATATGTGCAACTCATCCGGTACAAGCAAAGGGTTAAGAGAACAATTAGTCGAGGCCAAATAACACCACAAAAATATACAATTGTACAAAATCGGCCTACAATATTGAACCGACACGCACACACACATACGCGATAATTAATTATGTGTCAAAATACGGGTTAACAACTATGTTGAAAACTTGTTGAAAAAAAGTTTGAGGTGTGTATGAATCTATGTTGGACTCGTTGAGAAAAAATCGAACAGTGTTGAAAAAACGTTGGAGGTCTGTATGAATCCATATTGGACTCGTTGAGAAGAAGTTGAACACAGTCGAAGACCCACTTTCAACACTTGGTCATAACCCTTGAGGGCTGAGAAAGTTGGAAATGAAAATGAAAATTTGTTGAAATCCGACGATAATTTTTCTGTTGAGGAAGGTTGTGTGAGTCATGCATGTGAATGAAAAAGTCTAACTCGAGTATAAGATTATACGGTTTTGTTTTGAATGTGTTTTTTTTGCGTGCTGTGCAGGTAGGTAGAAGGATGCCTGTAAAGGAGATTGATTCTGCCTATTTAAGATGAAGAAAAATATAATCCTATTTCTATCTTTCACCTGCCTACATGACAAAAATACTTGAATTTTG